AAGCAAAGAAAACCAACGTTTGCACTATGCCGAGGTTTAGAGATAGCCATACATGGCGAAGTGGAAATTGTTTATATCGATAAAAAAGAGTTAATCGTGGGACAGCGCGGCGCAGCGGTGAGCCGCGAATTGGGAACCTTCAAAACCCGCCTATCCCTCGCGCAAGACACACGGAAAAGCGCGTTGTCGTCGATCGTTTAGGGTTTCTGTTTGGAAGACATACTCCTTATTGGTTATGGAACATCCAAGCACTGTAAGATTTCTGTCGACTATTGTCCAAAATTCACCCATATGCCATGAAAATATACTACCTATCTTTCGAAGCAGCTTTGAATTGGGGTCCGTAAAAAAGGTTCTAATTTCTCTAGCTGGAGTGCACTAATTTGAGGTAAACGTAGTGGGAGTGGAGTGATGTTTTTGAGGAACCGGAGAATCAGGTAGCAAGACAACCTTTATAACTATGAACTGTGAGGGAATTCAATGATTCAGCAGTGAAGCAGGCGGCTTCATCCATATTGAAAAAATATCGAGTTGGAGCGCGCTCTGTATATAGTGCAGATTTTATTCTAATTATAATGAGACGACTGAAATTATTAGCCCAAGTTTTCGCGATAATTCCGATTTTTTCTCTGTGTTCTGAAAGTTTCCATGAGATTGCTCCATGAAGATACAACTCATTTGTGTCCGCATAACAGATCCGGCTCCCTCTTCATGGTTTCTGGCTTATTTGACCCTATAACGACCGAACTGTCTCCCCATATTCGGCCAGTGAGTCTTTGTCGTCTACACGGCCCTTTGCAGCCACAGTGACCATTGAGCGCAGATGCAGTTTCTTTGAGGGGCACTCATGTAACTTCGCTACTTTTGAGTAAAAAAAACTCTAGAACGATCTAACCCCTCGATCGTTGCCAACAAATACCTACCCCTATCGAAATAGGTTCGCATGCACGTTTCTGGCGACCCTAATTTAATAGTGAGACTCGAAGATCATTAAGCTTCCCATTTATCCTAGCTAATCCAATTAGATGTAAAGAAATACTAGCGATACATGAATAGCAAAATGAGTGTTAAAAAAAATAAAAAAAATACGAGTATCCTGAAGGGATAAATCAACAAATAGCGGTCTGACGTTATTGCCGCGCGTAGAAGAATAATGGAATGTTCGACATAACTTTCCTCCTGTAAGTTAGGAACCCTTCCATAGTTGCTCAAAAAAATGCACTTCTTGTAGTGTTGACTCCGCCTGAGCATTTTTGTTCTCATCAAATCTCATTCAAAGAGAGGACAGGAAAGTATGAACTCTCTTTTCTCTCCCTACCGTGGTCACCTTTTGCGCTGGAGTGCAGATCATAGGGACGAAAGCAACATTCGTTAACTGCCAAATGACTTGGAATTCATACCATAGCAGAAGAGGACCGTTACGGTATCGCGCAGGAACATACTCCCATACTTTCCACGAGCTTGGTAATGAGTCCCTCGGTAGGGCATTCTAGTCCTCTATCAGCGCATTTGACAATTGCTAGCTAAACATTGATGCTTTTAGACGTGCTGTAATGCAGCTACCCAGGGCATTCCAAGTGTTTTATAGGATTTGAAGGAACGATGGGGCCACTCTATTCGCCGGATGTTCTCTCGCGTCAAGAGCTCCTTCTCTTGTTATGTTCGATGCGGTCGCGCAGTATAATCTCTGAAAATGAATTTAGCCCTGAAAAGACGCATATGAGAAAGGAGCTAACTAGTAGGCGTTCCACGCGCAAAAATCTAGAGATCATTCCGGCTAGCAACATCATAGCTCTCCACACCACAACCTCGACCATCAGAAAGATCACGTTCAGCAATGTTTCCGAGAGAGTTACGTGTTCCCAGCTCTCGCCATATGAGAATGCGTGCACGATCATTGCGGACACGGAATCAGCTCCCATTCGAAATAAGTTTATGACTCGAGTTCTCATCGGTGCATTCGCCATGCACCGGTAGCACCGTAAACGGTCTCGCCGATGCGCGAGGGTCAAAGAAAAGTAACATCGGTCGTCCGTCGAGCGAGAAACCGCAACCGTGCAGTCGTCGTGCCTCTGTGGTGCGTAAGGCTCACCTTAAAGTCTTGGTAAATGTCATTGCAATCAAAGACGCGGATTTACGAGGGATTATTTTTGCCTTCTGCACAATGTAGCGGTTATCCCTTGGTGTGTAATATTAAATTTTGGTCGACCACCTCCTCTCTTTTGGACAGTAGTACCAGAGCTTCGCAACGCACTCCACGCACGTAACACAACGCTATGAGTGACGAGAGCTCCTCCTGATCTACACTCGTCATGATGCGCCCTTCTTTTCAATTTTCCAGATGATTCTTTCTCATGTGAATTTATCCAGATACTGTCTGCGTGGTATGTTGTAGTGAAGGATACTACTACAGTGCTTTGGAGCTACATGTTGATTGGCGATACGTTTTTTCGTACCCACCATCGGCTTCCTCGATTCGCAGGAGCGGCCGTATATTTCGCATATGCATAAAAGTCCAGCTTCTT